GCCCGAGAACTGCGACAAACAAAAAAGCATCAACCGCAACCTCGAACCTCGAGCCTTCGAACCTTCGAACCTTCGAGCGGCCGCGGCGGCGGACCTTCGAACATCTCGAACCTTCGGCCTTTCGACGTTCGAACCTTCGCACCTTCGAACCTGCGAAGCTTTGAGCGTCGGGCCTTCGAACCTTCGAACGGTCGAACCCTCGAGCTTCGCACCTCCGAACCTTCGAACTGTCGAACCCTCGAGCTCCGAACCTCCGAACCTCCAAGCCTTCCAGCGGCAACGGCGGCGCGCTCCTGACGTTCTTCTCGGTGTAGTAGCGGCTCACGCCGCCGCGCGGCCCCCCGGCTCCTGGCACGCCGTCCTCGGGAAAGGACGGCCGGCCTCGGTCGTGAGGCGCCGCCGCGGCCGCCGCCGCCGTCGATAGGGAGCCCACAAAGGACGTACGCGCCCAGCTATGTACATGAACACGGCCCCTCGAACCGCGAGACCGGCCGCGTTATACGAACATTTGCGCAATGCGTACTCTCGAAACCAGCGTGGATTCATGTACATGTACGTCCTTCTTTCGCTCCTGACGTCGAGGGGAGGGGGGGGGAGAGCCGGTCGAGGAAGAGCATATACCCACTGTGCTGGCCTCCCCTCGTCGTCGCCACCGGATGCGGATTCGGCTCGAGGTTCTGGTCGGAGCGCACCCCGGGAGAGGTCCAGAGAGTAGCGGTGTCGGTACCTCCTTGCCCCCGCACCCCAGCGAGGAGGAAATGGAGGAGAAAAAGGACGACGAGGAGGAGCACAAGGGGGAAGAAAACGTAGGACGACGAACCCCATCCCTCTTGACCTGAATCCTCCATCCTCCTTTCGCTTCCCCTCCCTCTTGGTCACCCCTCCTCCTGCCACCCCTATTCCCTCCCCGCGTTCCCACTGTATGTTGCCCCATTTTCAACATCGTCATTTTCTTAGTCGCCCGGGTCATCCTTTCCCTCATCATTCCGCGCCTTCCCCCGCCACCTCCTCCTCCTCCTCCTCCTCCTCCTCCTCCTCCTCCTCCTCCTCCTCCGGGTGCAATGAACCGCCAGATTGCTTTCTCTCTCTTGCTTATCATGCCACTCTGGCGTACCCTGAGAGTCGTGATGGCCCTACGTGGAAGTTCGTGCAGTAGAACCCGCTGGCGTGTACGCGTGCGGACAGGGTAGAAGATGTGTGCCAGGTGTTTGCAGATGTGGAGGTAGTGGCTTTGACAGGGACTCAGCTGAGTGCCAGAGAGGTGGATATCCAGAGACGGAGAGTGCTTGGGAGACTTTTGATCGAGGCGGGCTGGCAGCGAGGCCCCTTTTCGAATCGTTCCTGCGGTATCTCTGTGCTGTTGCATCGTCGCTTTCGGGACGAGCATGTGCGAGCAGTGCGAGGGGGGCCTGCTGGTATGCTGGGGAGGTGCCTTGCGGTGAGAATCAGGACCAAAAGCGAGGACTTCACGGTGCTGGCCCTCTATTTCCCCCCCAGGGTGACGTAGACGAAGAAGCAGGCCCCCCTACGAGAGGACGGTACGCATGCTGCTTCCCGTGTTCCAGAGGTGCCTGTGTTGAGCACTTCGCGGGGGCCGCTTTTCGGGCAGTCCTGCGGGCGCAGTACATGTCGGCCTTCTCCACGCTGAGCGGCGTACCGACGTTCTACGGCACCGACCACACATCCATCGTGGACTATGTCTGCCTCCCGACGGCCATGGCGCGAGCTGTGCGCGTTGCGGGCCCTCTGGTAGGTCAAGGTACTCCAGATTTCGTAATAAAAGGGAGGGGGTCTGGACCCTCCAAGACAAGCCATTTCAGACCTCCCCCGTGGGAGAACCCTCCAAACATCGTCCCCAGACCCCCCAGGCCCTCCAAGATAGCCTGGAAGAGACCCCCCCCGAAATGAGACCCCCCTCCCTTTATTACGAAACCTGGAGTAGGCAGTTGCAACTGATCAGCACGGCGACGCGTCGTGATCGCCTCCCTGTTCTTTGTGGAGAGGTCGTGAGGCCAGCGTCCGCGCGAGAGGTGCTCGAGGCCTCGCCGGCCCCCCACGGCGCTGGGACAGCGGCGCTTGCACCCCGACGCGCAGCGCTTCGAGGAGGGAGGGGGCTACCTACCAGACCACCCCAACCCAACCCGAAGACCCGAATTTCGGGAGGGGGGGGTAGGGGTTCCATATGTGTTTTTTCTATGTTTCCCGACCCCACCCACACTGGAAATCGAGGGTAAATCTGAGCCTCCGGGTTGGGTTTGGGGTGGTTTGGTGGGTGGTGATGATCAGCACGGCGACGCGTCGTGATCACCTCCCTGTTTTTGTGGAGAGGTCGTGAGGCCACCGTCCGCGCGAGAGGTGCTCGAGGCCTCGCCAGCCCCCCCCCACGGCGCTGGGACAGCGGCGCCTGCACCCCGACGCGATGATGGCAGCGCTTCGAGGAAGGAGGGGGCTCTGCGTGAGTTGCTGGACGGAGTGGATGGGGAGGATGGAGCAAACGCAGGGTGGAGGATGAGGAGGAGGAGGAGGAGGAGGAGGAGGAGGAGGAGGAGGAGGAGGAGGAGGAGTGGAGTGAGTTTCTGGAGGGGGTGGAGGGGAGGATGGAGCAAACGCAGGCGGAGTGGGCCCTTCTTGCGGCCCCGCCTTCGCCTGCTAGGCTGGTCGCTGTCCTGGAGCAGGTGTTATACGATGCAGCTGTGCCGCCGTGTTCGAAATCTTCTCGGAGTGTGCCTGGCAAAGCGGAGCTAGAAGTGACCCGTTCTCGACTGCTGGTGAAGCGGCGTGAGCTTAGGACGGCCCTAGCGGGCACCTCTTCCCAGGCGTTGGAGGCTGTGACAAATCAACTTCGCCAGGCTACTAGGGAGCTGCGTGCGTTGTCTCGACTGGCTTTTCAGCAGAAGCGTGAGGAACACCTCGAGGCCTTGCGTGAGTCGTGGGGCTTGAGGAACTTGCACGCTGCTTTTTTTTTTTCACGCTCGCGCAGCGGCGGGAGTGCGCATCGGGCCAAAGAAACGGAAGAGTCTTGAGGTGCGCACTGCCCTGCCAACGCGCGAGGAGCAGCTGGCCTTCTGGGCGCAGCCTTGACCCGAGGAGGGAAATGGCGGCTCGGGAGGTGGAGGGATGGGGAGGACTGCCACCCGTCTGCTCGGAGGCGGCACAGTTTAACGCCCTTTGTGCACGAGCAGGCGGGAGAGGATATGAAGAGAATATGTCGGAAGCTGCGTAGGATTCCCAAGTGTAGGGTCTCTCCCAAGTGGTCGTCCCCCATGGAGCTCTGGGACATGGGACATGGCCTGAAGCTCTGGGGCTGGGATTCTTCGAAGAAGCAAGTTGCTGGTGTTGGGGCCCCCGACCCGTCTAGACCTACCCGTCTAGTTCCTATGGCGAATTCGGACGGCCATGTGTACCCCTCGGGCCTGGCACTGTAGTCAGGCTGGCGGTCTTCGGAAGACCGATGCGGAAGGCCCCGCGGGTAAACGCTGGGTGCACATGCTTCCCTCGTTTGGCAAAGTGTGGTATTCGGCCATTATGTCGAGGCCGAATATGGCCCCTGATGTGCACGTTTACCAAGCCAGTAGGTGCAAGGGGACTCCGATGTTGGTCTCGTCGATTCTGGCGTGGAGGCAGGCAAATCTTTTTTGTAGGCAGTGCGTCCATCGAGTGTTTTTGCGGCCTGGTTGTGGAGGGGTGATGGAGGACCCTTTCATGGTGGCGGCGTGGGTGAGGGCCTTCCAACCAAGTGTGCAACGGTGGCGCAGCGCCATGGCCGCAGCGAGGGTAAGGGACGGGAGTTTGGTGGCGTGCAGCGCCTGCGATCCCGATCCGATCGACCTGACGCTGTGCCAGTATGCTGACGACCTCGAGCTTTCCCATTTAGGAAGGGAGGGGGAGAGAGCTGCTCCTCTGCTGGCACGAGTGCGCAAGGCGTCCGATCTCTTGTCGGAAGCCCTGGCGGAGAAACGAACGTGTCTGTTGCACATGTTGGGCCCTGGGTCCCATCGCGATGTGCGAGATGTTCGTATGGGGCGGTTAAGGACCTCAGGGAGTGTTTTTCACCAGGTACGGTACCTTGGGGGCAAGTTGTTGCTGATGCCCGACTGGCACAAGCTTTTGCTCCAAAACTCAGGGCCCACAAGCGGGCGGTGTACAAGGCTTTGTATTCCCTCGGCAGTTTTGGTTTTTGAAGGGCGTTCCATATCGCTTGAAACGCTATATGTTCTCATCTCTTGTAGTATGCACGGCAACGCAGAATCCAGAAGCGTATACCCCGTCAGATCGCCAGCTCGCTGTTTTGCAGAATGTTGTGGACCAGCTGGCGCGCAAAGCACTGAAAGGAGGAGCTCACACAGAGAGTGAGGGAGTCCACAAATCCTTGTCTAACGAGCAGGTCCGTAAGCACTGGCGCCTGTGTTCGTTGTCTGTCGAACTGCGGGTTCGGCGGCTTAAGCGGCTGCAAGCATTCTCGCGACACACTGGGCGGCATCGACAGTGGATCGCGGCACACTTCGGAAAGATGGGGTGGGAGGCGGAGGAGACTATGACGGAGTTGGGGCAGCTCAAGGCGTCGGCGAATCCGTGGGCTCTGAGGGTTCTAGAGGACGTGAAAGCCTTGGGGGCGGTGGAGGATGCTGAGTGGTTTCTGAACGAGATGGAGGATTATGGCGCGGACCTGTTTTGCGACACCGAGGTGAGGCACGATTTCCTGAAGGTGGATGTGGGCCTGCTGAGGGCCCAAGATGTTCAAAAACCGTGCGCAGAGGAAGGGCCTGGGCGTCATGATCGTCGTCAGGGGGAGGAGGGACTTAGGCGGTGTTTTTTCGAGGAGAACGGGCAGCCGTGCAGGTCGTCGTTCGCTTCCAGTCGTGCCTTGTCCACTCACATTCAGCGTGTGCACCGCCTTACCGACATGTACGCGTCGATCGTCGTGACTAATCAATGCCCGTACTGCCTCGACGTCTTCTCCTGCCGTCAAGCTGCGTATCGGCATGTCATCGCTAGGCAAGTTCGTCCTGATCGAGTCTCGAGGGGGCGCTTTCTTGGGGCCGTGGACATGCCTGACACCTTCGATTGCCCGTTGTGCGAGTATTCGGTTCAAGATCTTCTGGCTTTACACCAGCACGTTGTTTCGCACGTGCCTGGGCATAGGCATGCCGCTCGAGAAGCCGAAGTGGGCGCCGAAGCGCTGCGCCGACGAGCAAGGCAATCGGGAGCGGACGAAGTTGCTGACGCAGATCGGCGCCGGCGGCAGCGGTACGAAGCAGCAGGCAGCTCCTAGAGCGCATGATGTAAATGCTCGCCGCGCTGGCTCTCACGCAGGAGGCCGAGCTTCGAGACCTGATCGCGGCGGTCTACCACACCTTCCTCATCCCCGCCGCCTCGCCCATTGCGTCCGCGATGAAGCGGGCGGGCCAGGAGTACCACGCCCACGCCAAGCAGCTGAAGGCGAACGGCGGGCAGGACGGAAGCGGCGGGGGCCACGACATCCTTGGTCCGCCATTTCTTCACGTGTTCAAGGCGCTGGTCAAGGCAGCGCACGAGACGGAGGACCCGAATCAGACGGCCTTCTGGACGAACCAGGTACTGAAGGAGGAGTTGCACTCGCTGGCGGAGCAGATCCGCCACTGCAGGAGCAAGGACACTCGCAAGAAGGAGAACGCAGGAGAGATGATGAGGATCACGATCTGCTTTTCGAACGACTGGCGGGACCTCGAGGCGGCGGTGTGCTCGGCCATCAAGAAGGAGAACGGGGTGAAGAAGATCGGCCCACCGCCGAGGGGCCCGCTGGCGAGGGAGGCCTCGAAGTTGCTGGAGGAGCTGAACAACCTCAGCTGAGACGAGTGGCGCCTCCTCAGGGCATCGGCCACGCGGAGGGGGGACAGACGTCAAACCCAGGTCCTGGTCAGGGGCCTGGACCGTCTGGCAGCGCTGGAGAACTTAGGCGCCTGGCTGGGCGCCTTGAAGTTTTATCCGAGCCCTGGAGTTGCACTAACTTGTTCCCAACCATCCTGTGGTGTTGGGTCCTCGTTTTGAAGAGACAGCGCCCCGCGTCCCACCTCCTCTCCTCCTCCCTCCTCTCCTCTCCCATGGCTGCCGTCCGCATGCGTCCCGCACACCCATTTCGGCACACCCCTCACACGTTTCGTGGCCCCACAGGGAGCTCCACCGAAGGCCCCAGTGCTGCCGTCCGCATGCGTCCCGCACACCCATTTCGGCACACCCCTCACACGTTTCGTGCCCCGTGGCTGCCGTTCACACAGGGAGCTCCACCGAATCCCCTCACATTTGCATTTCGGGACACGTTTCGTGGGGAGCTCCACCGAAGGCCCCATGGCTGCCGTCCGCATGCGTCCCGCACACCCATTTCGGCACACCCCTCACACGTTTCGTGGCCCCACAGGGAGCTCCACCGAAGGCCCCATGCTGCCGTCCGCATGCGTCCCGCACACCCATTTCGGCACACCCCTCACACGTTTCGTGGCCCCACAGGGAGCTCCACCGAAGGCCCCAGTGCTGCCGTCCGCATGCGTCCCGCACACCCATTTCGGCACACCCCTCACACGTTTCGTGGCCCCATAGGGAGCTCCACCGAAGGCCCCATGGCTGCCGTCCGCATGCGTCCCGCACACCCATTTCGGCACACCCCTCACACGTTTCGTGGCCCCACAGGGAGCTCCACCGAAGGCCCCAGTGCTGCCGTCCGCATGCGTCCCGCACACCCATTTCGGCACACCCCTCACACGTTTCGTGGCCCCATAGGGAGCTCCACCGAAGGCCCCATGGCTGCCGTCCGCATGCGTCCCGCACACCCATTTCGGCACACCCCTCACACGTTTCGTGGCCCCACAGGGAGCTCCACCGAAGGCCCCAGTGCTGCCGTCCGCATGCGTCCCGCACACCCATTTCGGCACACCCCTCACACGTTTCGTGGCCCCATAGGGAGCTCCACCGAAGGCCCCATGGCTGCCGTCCGCATGCGTCCCGCACACCCATTTCGGCACACCCCTCACACGTTTCGTGGCCCCACAGGGAGCTCCACCGAAGGCCCCAGTGCTGCCGTCCGCATGCGTCCCGCACACCAGGTGTGTGGCGTGCCGACATGGGCGTCGCGGCGCGCGGGCGCTGCCGTCGGGGTTCCCAGGGAAGCCCCCTGCAGAGGCGACGCTCAGAGTCACGAGTACCGAGAGTCACGCAGACCCAAACTGTTCACAGTCGTATACATACATTTACACTGAGCGTATCCATGCACGCATTCATGCGAATAGAATCAATCGCGCGCAGATTCATTCATAATCAGACTCGCTCGCGATCCGACTCGCACGCGCTCAAGCTTTCATATTCGGACATATCGTCTTCGTGCGTGTTGTGTACACTGCCACGCATTTCGGCACACCCCTCATACGGCTCGTGGCCCCATAGGGAGCGCCACCGAAGAAGCTATTCACAATTGCGGTACTCTCAACTGCATATGGTTGGGTCCTTCGCCAGGCTAAGTTTAAGGGCTCGGGAAGGTCGTTTAAGGCCCCCGAGAGACTCGGAGAAAGGGAAGGGGCGGGGTACGGCGGGGAGTGGGCGGGGGGCGGGGGGAGGGCAGTAAGGCGTGCGGCGTGTGCCATCAGGCCCACGTGTGGGCCATCCACGTGCCGTGGCGCCTGCAGGCCAGTCGCGGGATCCCCCGTGCAATGTGTCTGTCGTCATCTGTCAGTTGGCACACGGAGTGTGCGTCGCAGATGCCTCGATCTTGAGACTCAGAGACCAGAGGCGCCAATGGTGCTCTTAGATTATCTCATCTTATCCTCCTCCTCCTCCTCCTCCTCCTCCTCCTCCTCCTCCTCCCCCTCCTCCTCCTCCTCCTCCTCCTCCTCCTCCTCCTCCTCCTCATACTCCTCATAGTCCTCATCCTCCTCCTCCTCCTCCTCCTCATCCTCCTCCTCCTCCTCCTCCTCCTCCTCCTCCTCCTCCTCCTCCTCCTCCCCCCTCCTCCCCCCAGTCCAAATCGTTATCAACATCATAATCATCCGCGTCATCATCGTGATCACCATCATAGGCGCCATCACCATCACAACCACCATCAACATCATCACAATCGTCATCATCAGCATCAGCATCGCCATCGTCGTCACCAGCATCAAAATCCGCATCAGCTACACAATCGTCTTCACCACCACCATCGCCACCCGCATCATCATAAAAATCATCACATACATCATCATCACCACCATCTCCATCATCAACATCGCAATCCGTATCAGAATCGTCATCATCGTTCTCAGCTCCATCCTCCTCCTCCTCATCCCACGACTCCTCCCTGTCCCCCCCTCGTGTATCCTCCCGCGCCTTCCTTCGTTCATCCTACCTTGCGCTCCAGTTTCTCCGAATCCTCCCAAATACCCTCCTCAGCATCCGCATTTGGACCCTGGAGTTGCACTAATTTGTTTAAGGGCTCGGGAAGGTCGGTTAAGGCCCCCGAGAGAATCGGAGAAAGGGAAGGGGCGGGGTACGGCGGGGAGTGGGCGGGGGACGGGGGGAGGGCAGTAAGGCGTGCGGCTTGTGCCATCAGGCCCACGCGTGGGCCATCCACGTGCCGTGGCGCCTGCAGGCCAGTCGGGGGATCACCCGTGCAATGTGTCTGTCGGCATCTGTCAATTGGCACACGGAGTGTGCGTCGCCGATGCCTCGATCTTGAGACTCAGAGACCAGAGGCGTCAATGGTGCTCTTAGATTATCTCATCTTATCCTCCTCCTCCTCCTCCTCATCCTCCTCATTATCCTCCTCCCCCTCCCCCTCCTCATCCTCCTCCTCCTCCTCCTCCTCCTCCTCCTCCTCCTCCCCCTCCTCCTCCTCCTCCTCCTCCTCCTCCCTCCTCCTCTTAGTCCAAATCGTGATCAACATCATAATCATCCGCGTCATCATCGTGATCACCATCATAGACGCCATCACCATCACAACCACCATCAACATCATCATAATCGTCATCATCATCAGCATCAGCATCGCCATCGTCGTCACCAGCATCAAAATCCGCATCAGCTACACAATCGTCTTCACCACCACCATCGCCACCCGCATCATCATAAAAATCATCACATACATCATCATCACCACCATCTCCATCATCAACATCGCAATCCGTATCAGAATCGTCATCATCGTTCTCAGCTCCATCCTCCTCCTCCTCATCCCACGACTCCTCCCTGTCCTCCCCTCGTGTATCCTCCCGCGCCTTCCTTCGTTCATCCTACCTTGCGCTCCAGTTCCTCCGAATCCTCCCAAATACCCTCCTCAGCATCCGCATTTGGACCCTGGAGTTGCACTAATTTGTTTAAGGGCTCGGGAAGGTCGTTTAAGGCCCCCGAGAGACTCGGAGAAGGGGAAGGGGCGGGGTACGGCGGGGAGTGGGCGAGGGGCGGGGGGAGGGCAGTAAGGCGTGCGGCTTGTGTCATCAGGCCCACGTGTGGGCCATCCACGCGCCGTGGCGCCTGCAAGCCAGTCGGGGGATCACCCGTGCAATGTGTCTGTCGGCATCTGTCAGTTGGCACACGGAGTGTGCGTCGCCGATGCCTCGATCTTGAGACTCAGAGACCAGAGGCGTCAATGGTGCTCTTAAATTATCTCATCTTATCCTCCTCCTTCTCCTCATCCTCCTCATTATCCTCCTCCCCCTCCTCCTCCTCCTCCTCCTCCTCCCCTCCTCCTCCTCCTCCTCCTCCCCCCTCCTCCCCTTAGTCCAAATCGTGATCAACATCATAATCATCCGCGTCATCATCGTGATCACCATCATAGACGCCATCACCATCACAACCACCATCAACATCATCATAATCGTCATCATCAGCATCAGCATCGCCATCGTCATCACCAGCATCAAAATCCGCATCAGCTACACAATCGTCTTCACCACCACCATCGCCACCCGCATCATCATCATAAAAATCATCACAAACATCATCATCACCACCATCTCCATCATCAACATCGCAATCCGTATCAGAATCGTCATCATCGTTCTCAGCTCCATCCTCCTCCTCCTCATCCCACGACTCCTCCCTGTCCTCCCCTCGTGTATCCTCCCGCGCCTTCCTTCGTTCATCCTACCTTGCGCTCCAGTTCCTCCGAATCCTCCCAAATACCCTCCTCAGCATCCGCATTTGGACCCTGGAGTTGCATTAGTTTGGTTAAGGGCTCGGGAAGGTCGTCTAAGGTCCCCGAGAGACTCGGAGAAGGGGAAGGGGCGGGGTACGGCGGGGAGTGGGCTGGGGGCGGGGGGAGGGCAGCAAGGCGTGCGGCTTGTGCCATCAGGCCCACGTGTGGGCCATCCACGCGCCGTGGCGCCTGCAGGCCAGTCGCGGGGTCCCCCGTGCAATGTGTCTGTTGTCATCTGTCAGTTGGCACACGGAGTGTGCGTCGCCGAATTCTCGATTTTGAGACTCGGAGACCAGAGGCGTCAATGGTGCCCTTATATTAGCTTATGTTATATTATAGTATGGTATCGTATCTTATCGTACATTATATTAAATGATGTTATCTTATGTTATATTTTCTTTTGTTATATTATCTTGTATTATAGTATAGAATATTATCTTATATTATCATCATCCTCGTCCTCCTCATGATCCTCCTCCTCCTCCCTCCTCCTGCTCCTCGTGGTCATTATCCTCCTCTTCCTCCTCCTCCGCCTCCTTGTCCTCCTCCCCATCATCATCAGCATCATCAGCATCATCATCAACCTCATCATCAACATCAACATCATCATCATCATCATCATCATCATCATCATCATCATCATCATCATCATCATCATCATCATCATCATCACTATCAGCATCATCATCAT